ACGCACCGCGACCATGCGGACCGATACAGAGAGCGCTGCAGAGAACGTGTTCAGATGCGGAAAGTTTGGCCGTTGTCATATCGATGAAGAGACGTTGGATGATGATCGAGCTCACGATCCTACCCTGCCCCAGAATGACGTGAAGCTGTTGAAGTCCTCATAGAAATCGCCCTCGTCCCGCTGCAGGAATGACCTTGGACCCCTCACTCCGCACACACTCCTTGCAAGTGACACAAACAATACATACATCATGTATGAGCATGCACACCTTTGTTTTCTGACACCCGGCTTACCGCTTATAGGCGGCTAATCATTCGAGACGATCCGAGGGCTGCGTCCCAATACATCGCCGACTATGTCATTGGTGCATACCTCGCTCCTTTGTTGTGTGTTAATATCGACTAACGCCGCAGCATAGAGCGCATCAACACCTTTGCCCCAACGCAAGAGAGACCCTTTGTCTTAGGTCTGCCTACTGGGAGCAGCCCTGTCCTGATCTACGAGCATCTTGTACAGCGCCACAAAGCGGGCCAAGTCTCCTTCCGCAATGTGGTCACGTTTAATATGGTACGAACTACCGCCCTGCATATGGCGTCGCACCCTTGCGTCCAATGTCTCACAGCAGCGTGATATAGAGTGATACTGACCCAATCAGGACGAGTATGTCGGCATCCCGCGTGATCACCCCGAGAGCTACCACAGCTTTATGTATAAGCATTTCTTCTCCCATGTTGACGTGAAACCCGAGAACATCAACATTCTCAACGGGAACGCACCTGACCTGGAAGTCGAATGCCATGACTACGAAGAGAAGATCCAACGTGCTGGTGGCATCGAGCTGTTTCTCGGCGGCATCGGGCCAGATGGACACATTGCCTTCAACGAGCCTGGTTCCAGCCTCAAGTCTCGGACCCGCGTGAAGACTCTTGCATACGATACCATTCTGGCCAACTCAAGGTTCTTCGGAAACAACCTCGATCAGGTGCCGAAGATGGCGTTGACCGTGGGCGTGCAGACTGTCCTTGATGTAAGTCACACCACCAAGTACTTCAACAATGTCTAACGTTCCTCAGGCGCGCGAAGTCGTCATCATAATCACAGGCGCACACAAGGCCTTAGCACTCCAGCGGTGCATCGAAGGCGGCGTGAACCACATGTGGACGCTGTCCAGTCTCCAGATGCACCCGCACCCGATGATCGTCGTCGACGAAGACGCCACACTGGAGCTGCAAGTCAAGACCGTCAAGGTACGCCCATCAACACCCTTCTCTTCTAGTCGTCAACTAACACTCTCAGTACTTCAAGAGCATCGAGCGCGTAGGCTCCGAACTAGGCATGCGCCAGAAGCTCCCCAGAAAGCGCGACTCGCTTGTGGACGAGGGGACCCTGCTAGCCCCTGACCAGCCAAACGGTATCAGATTGACTGTGCCGCAAGTTGATCTCTCCCGTTCAGCAAGTCCCGTCCTGGAGCCAATGAGCGCCCGCCTCTCCGACGACGAGGCAAGCGCTTTGCAATTGCGTTCCATGGAATCGGATTTGGACGATGTCGCAGATCAGCCCTCGGTCCGAATGAGCGCTCGCGTCGCTAGCTAGCACCTCTACCACTGTTTCGAACCCGACAGGCTGTGGAAATTGGATGGACGCCGTTTTTTGTGCCTGTGTTTGCTTTTAGGGGAGACCGCTAGACTGGTTCTTGGGTCGGAGACGAGTTTCCTGTTCGGGGTGGTGTTGCTGCGAGTGCATTGTGGCACGGTCGGTCGGAAGCGTCCAGCGACCAGGTCTGATGACAGCCGCTCAATAGTCTGGCTATAGTTGTTTGTTGTTATAGAAGAGTTTCTGAGACGTCATAGAGAAATCTGCGAGCGATGGCAGATTCACTGTTGGACGGGGTTGCTCGTGGTAGAAGGCACCATCGTTAGAATGAGTGCTGGGCATCGGATAAGGGAATGGCGTGTGAAACACAATCAAATACCAATTTAGTCTCTAAGTCCAATTGCATTAGCTTGATTCCTTAGAAGGCGTTTATGTGTTCGTGTGTTCGGATGAGTAGATTTACTTAGGTTGACCGTGTGGTAGACGTCGGAGCATGTCACGTACAAACATGGCATTCTGTAGCTGGTTCGTCTCTGTGTTAAAGAGAAGGAAACATGTGACAGGCCGTGGAAACTGCGTGCAACTGGCGGTGATGGATTGATGGCAGGCCTAGAACGTCATTGGCGGCGGGTGGGGGCGCGTCATCCCGGTTCAGATCTCCAGATCCCCTCGTACCAAAATAATCCCGCCGCATCCTCCATGTGAGAGCTCACGCGCCGGTAGCCATGTCTTTCGTGGTTGAGTAAGTTGGCGTATTCAATTGATACAGCCGGGTATAGCTAATACTGTGTCAGCCAAGTGCGTCGGATTGACAGCCAGCTCGACCGGCTGCAGCTGTCGGCGACACGACAAGGCAGCTTCTCCATCACCGCCGAGGAAGCCCATGACCCCACCAAGACGACACGAATCGCGCACCTACAGTACCTCATCAAGTCCCTCTCCACGACCGCGTCATCCAAACACAGCCTGGTGTCCATCGCACGTATATCCGAGACGCTGCAGCGTGCCAACATCGCCAGCAGCTACGAGGATGCGAGCTACGAACATGAACTGGAATGGCTGCTAGTCAGTAAGGCGACGACGCAGGTGTACGGACAGGTTCTGAATACGATACTGGAACAGACCATACCATTGGAAGATGACCTGTGGTACTGGGACGACATCCTCTCCACCTACCGATTCGCTGGGCTATACTCGATTCAAACATCGCCCGTTCGGGTGTGGAAATGGTCGCAGGAGATATATCGCGACGTGCGGTCGAGGGGTGGCCAATTGGCTGATGGGTGGAGCCAGTTTTACGGCCTTGTCAAGGATGCGGTGCAAGAGCGCAGCATTGCCAACATACAGCGAAGAGTCGTGAGCCCGTTGGCGCTGGTCAGGAACGAAGGCAGAAGGAAGCGCGCAGCGTTGAGGAAGATACGACTCATCAATGCGAACGCGCTCGGTGTGCTTCTAGGCGAAGGGCTGGGTAACGAGAGGTATGCTATTAACCATTCGCGAAGACCGTGAGCGACTGCTGACCATCCCAGTGTACACGACGATGGCACCCAATCTCCCCCATTGCTCGGCGCACAAAGCGGACACAGATGGAAGAGCGTCATGGCTAAGAACATCGCCCTGATGGACGCCGTCATTCAAAGCGTGAACGCTGCAGAGATATCCGTCAATAAGTTTGACGATTCTGTTGCTGGCATTACTCAAGACGATCAACTCTACTCGCTGCACGAACCCACCGGAGAACGAACTGCAACCACGCTCAAGCCCGCCGATGTCGCAGAGCGACTGCAATATCTACTCCAGGAAGCATTGCCTACCTACACCGCAGACTTCAACGCTGTCGTCAAAGAGAACGGACGTCCATCTCTCCTTATCCGCTATTGGCTACCGGCCACCATGCTCCTCGTATCCTCGACCACTATCCTGCGTATATTTGTCAACCGAAAAGAAGAGATTCTGGCCTGGGTACGCGAACTAGGACAGACTGTAATCGACTTCTGGACAAATTGGGTCGTGGAGCCTGCAATGAGGATCATTGGTACCATCCGCCACAATGAAGATAGCGAGGTTTCCATCATGAGCAAACGAAGCTTGGAGTCTGACCGCGCAAGCCTTGAGCGCATGGTCATTGACTTTGCGGTGAAGAACCCTGAAGGCCCCGCCTTGAACGAGACTCAAATTGCCGATATCAGGGCGAAGGTCCGCGAAGGCGATCTGACCACGGTCTTGAGATCTTACGAAAAGGACATCCAAAGTCCGGTCAAGGGTGCGATAATTGGTAACCTAGCTAGCGCACTGCTCATTCAGGTGCAGAAGACCAAGGTCGATGTGGAAGTCGCGATGAGCGGTATTGACAGCATTCTCAAGAGCCAGGAGTTGCTCTTTGGCTTCATCGGTCTGACGCCTGGTGTTCTCGTCAGTATCGGCGTCTACCGATACCTCCGAGGCGTCTTCAGCAGCCGTAAAGGCGTCCAGATGTGGGCGAGGCAGGGCCGCATGCTGCTCATCCTGCGCAACATCGATCGCATCCTTACCAGCGCAACACCCACAGAAGACGGCGAAATTTCCTACAAGGACCACGGTCTCCTCCTCTGCGAAGTGCATCTCCTGCGACAGGCTGCGAGCGGCATCCTGCCACGACGCATCTTCCACGACTTCTTGGTGGAAATAGATGAGCTTGTTGACGTGAGAAGTGGGCTGCAGCGACAGCAAAAAGTAGTTGAGCGCATTAGGTGGGCGTACTCGAAATGGTTTACTTGAGAGCGTCTTTGCAACTGGGATGGACCAGTCACAGCGCATTTATGATCAGCGTACATACCCACTTCAATACAGATATGCGAACAAGCTTGTATATTTAGAGTCGTGTTCTCAATAGGTGCAGCCGGAACATGACAGATCAGATGTCTACTATCCAAGACTAGCTCAACAAGTATCGCGTGGGTAGGTACGTACCGAGGCCAAAACAAAACCCAGAAAATTGAGGCTCTTCTCAGCGCCAGCACCTGACCGTGTCTCGTGTGCCGGTTCGTGATGCCGGTAGTGACAGCCGAGTCAAGGCAGATGCGCAGTTGCCACCAAGCCAGCCGCCTCTCGTCACTCGCAGACGACAGCTGCAGTGACGGAGGTGGTGAAGCCCGTGCGGACTATTGGCGCTAACGTCCAACGTTGGCCAGCACCTGTGAACTCGCTCCCACGCCGTTTACTTCGCTGCCTGCTGTTAACCACACAGCAACATTCACCCCAAGCCCGCCTGTTCCCACTCATACAACATATCATCAGGCTCGAGTCTATCACCGCCATTCTTCCGCAACCACGCAACCACCGCCAGCTCCACCGCACACCCCAAACCGGCGGGCGCCAACTCCGCAACCACCTCCGCTCGATAACGCATCCCACGACTCCATATCAAGATGGCTGGCTCCAGGAATTATGATTTTCTCGTAAGCTTCGCCCTATGCCTCTTTCTGACATGCGCCTGCCCAGCTTCCGCATACATGCTGGACCCTGAACGCCCCTCCACCGCCTATATCCAGACCCACACTAACATTCTCCCCCGCGTAGATCAAACTACTCCTCATAGGCGACTCGGGTGTAGGCAAATCGTGCTGCCTGCTGCGCTTCAGCGAAGACTCGTTCACGCCCTCGTTCATCACCACCATCGGCATTGACTTCAAGATCCGCACCATCGAGCTCGACGGCAAGCGCGTGAAGCTGCAGATATGGGATACCGCCGGCCAAGAGCGCTTCCGGACCATCACCACGGCGTACTACAGAGGTGCCATGGGTATCCTGCTAGTTTACGACGTCACGGATGAAAGGAGCTTCAACAGTACGTCCCGCCGCCCACACACCTTCTACCATCCTAGCTAAACAAGCCGGAATGTCTCAATAAACAAAACACTAACACCACCCAGACATCCGCACATGGTTCTCCAACGTCGAGCAACACGCCACCGAAGGCGTCAACAAGATCCTCATCGGCAACAAGTGCGACTGGGAAGAGAAGCGCGCCGTCTCCACAGAACAGGGCCAGGCCCTCGCCGACGAACTCGGCATCCCCTTCCTCGAGGTCTCGGCCAAGAGCAACATCAACGTCGACCAGGCGTTTTACAGCCTCGCCGGCGATATCAAGAAGCGCCTTATCGATACTGCCAGGACGGATCAGACCGCCGCTCCCAAGGTCGATGTCAGTGGGCAAGGTGACGGGAACGCGGGTATGGGCGGGAAGTGCTGCTAGAAAGGAGGTGTAGTCGGGAGAGAGAGGGCATAAGAGGAGATGGATATTTTGGACTGAGATTGTCAGGCACATGGGGGGGCAGTGGTTATGCTATGGATGTCGAGGGTCGGAAATGCTACGGCTTTGATCTGATGGAAGCAGAGAGCAAGCTTGGGTCCGAGGGTACGGAAGAGATGATCGCACGAAGACGATGCTTACACGACTGAATATCCGCTCGAGCGAGTCCCTTTTGGGTAGCATCAACCTCTTTTTCTTAACGAGTTTGTGTTACAGGCGTTGGTCTTTTTTTTTTATCCGGGTTCCAAAGAGAATGGGAGTACCTACCTTTATTTTACAATTACGTATTGTAATGCCAATTGTATATGCACGGAGTCTTGTCTGCAGGGTGTGGAAATCGGGGTGACAGCTTTGCGCGTGGTCTAGAGGTATGCGATGTAAAGAACGATACTGATTGCTAACACTGATCTAGTTATAGAACGAAGTAACGATACTGACATACACACCTACACGCATACCCCGACTTTTAAAACGAAACACAACAACACTAGAAGAAAGCACACCACCCGATATACATACTCGCCAAATTCATCGGATCCACCGCCATAGCAATAAGCGCGTCAACATAGCCCTCGACACTCAACGGGACACTCTCCCCCTTGAGATACCCATTCACCTTTGTCCTGGTAATATCCAGCACCTCCTGCGGCGTATCCGGGACGCCAACAATCTTCTTACGACGTTTGCCTCCCAGGAAATCAGCCGTAGGATCGTGCACAAAAGTTTCCAGGATAGTAATCAACGTGTCTTCATGCTGGCGGAGCAGTTTGTAGGTCAGTTCAGCGGCTTTGCGGAAGGGGCCTTCGACGCCCTGTGGGCCCATGGCATCGACCATGTTGTGCGTGAGGCGGAAGGGAACGAGTTCGGGTTTTTCGAATGTGAGACCCTTGTCGAAGAGGCAGTTGAAATCGACGTGGAAAGTACCACCGTCGCCCTGCTCCAACAGCACGTTCTCGCCGTGTCGATCTCCCAAACCGAGGACGTGGCCCACTATACTCATCACAGCGCAAGATCTCGTATACCGGAGTCTTGCAGCGAACCAAGCTTCGGGCTCAGGAAACGTCTCAACAAACCATCCATGTAACACAGGCACGAATTTACCGAGGATGCGTTCAGTGAAGATGGGGATTTTGGATGGGGACGACGAGGCTTCGTTAAGGAGAAGGCGGATCTCGCCGTAGTCGATCGGGATGGCCATTTGGCGGTAGAAACGGAGGATGATGTCGCGCATGGGCTTGAGGCCTTCGACCCATTCGATTGCGCCGCATTCTTCGTTGAGGGGCGTGACGGCGTAGGTTTTGATGTAGAGGCGGCGCTTGCTGGACTCGATGTCTTTTTGGAGGGCGCGGTTGATCATGGCGTTGAATTCCATGAGGCGTTGGTCTTTGCGTAGGTCGTCTTTGGGTTTGCAGAGGAGGCCGTAGGAGCGCCCGTCGGAGCCGCGGACGTTTAGTTTTCGGGGGCGTTGGAGGGAGGATAGGACGAGTACGTCGTCGTCGAAGGATTGGATGGTGATGGCGTCGGCTGGGAATGGGTTGTGACGACGGATGGTCTGGCTGTCGTTGCCAGCAGGCAGATTTGGAAGTAGGTTGGCTTCGATAGGAACAACCAGCGGCGTGGGAGCAAGCTTGTGGTTGAACCCCAGATCCCTTGCTAGACTCACGTGTGCTATCCGTGATTCTATGGGGGCATCACAAGCCGCTAGTAGTGCGTCAGTAAGACGCTGCCCTTGGATGATGAGGGCCTTGAGGTCGATAGAAGCTCCTTTTCGCTTTGATGCGTCCTTCTTCTTGTTAGCTGATTTCTGATGTTGGCCAGATCGAGAACTTACGCGTAGTCGTTGCAATACAGTAGCGCCTCGAGCTCTGCGGTCATCCTGCGTGGAATGCAGGACGGCGAGTAAAGCCCAAAGCGCCTGCTGCGGATACGTAGACGCAACTCGAATGATGATCGTCTGGAGAGCATCCCAAACGCTCTTATTCGGATGGCTGATGCGTGTGATGATCTGCGGGAAAGCGGTGTACCATGCGAAAGCAGGCATCCGCTCTCCGGCGTATCGCTTGAGGTATTTGTTGATGTGGTCGAGATAGTTGAGCCGATGTTCGTGAAACTCCTTGTCTTTGGCGGTTTTGGGTGTGCTGCTCATAACTTCCATACCCATGTCCAACCACAGAGTAAGTATCTTGGGCAGGGTCTGGTAGTAGTACTTCGTCCCGTATACCGTAGAGCGGACAAAGTTCTCGATGACTAACTTGATGAGACTACCAGCAAGGTATTCGGAACTTTGTTTTGTTATCGGCTGCTGCTTCTCTGATTCGAGTAGCTTCAGATACCATCGACCCAGGTAGTAGTGACCTTTGTCCCAGCGGGGATAGGTTTGCACTCCAGTCACATACTCTTCCTTCAAGGACATTGACTGTGTCTGACCCGCGCGGTCTAGCCATTTAGCGAGCAATAGTTGAGCATGGCACTTAACCTTGTTCATCGAATGCTCTTCGCCTCGACCGGCTGTGGTCACGGAGACGTTGATCGGCACTGTGTCTTCCTGCTGGAATGCGTTGCTGTCGATTGCGCCACGAAGGTTTTGTATCGCCTTGCGATGGTGGCCTTCCTTCCACAGCAGCTTTGAGTACTCAATCTTAGACGCGTTGTCTCCAAGTCGTTCAGCGTGCAGTACAGAGTTGAAAGCTGTTGTCATGAAGCCTCCCTTGCGAGCCAGCCGTCCGGTCGTGAGCCACGCGGAAGCAACGTCAAGATTTGCGAATTCGATGCTGTTCTCTGTTAGTGGCCGTAACGAATGCCAGATGAGATTTACTTACCGAGATAGCGTCATAGCGGCGCGACGTAGTCCCAGAAGGTATTGCTTGTCTGATGTGTACGCCCCAATGATGTCCAAGCGTCTGTCCAGATTTTCGAGAATGGTTTCGCGGTCTGTTACAATCCCACTACCCATACCGCTTATAGTCTCAACCTCGTACAGTGCATGCAGTTTGACCAGATGATCATGCGATGCCTGCACAGACGTTGTGCTTGATGGAGACATGCTCTTCGCCAGAAGTTCTCGTAGCTCTTCAATGATGCCCTGGAAGTCTGGGCGGCTGTTGTGACGCAATGCCAATAGCGCTCTGCCTATCCCAACGTTGAAGTCCGCGAGAAGACTGGAATCATCGCTACCGGTAGCAGTAAGAAGGCGTTCGAGTTGTTCCCATTTGCCAGTAGACCAAGCCGCTTCCGCTGCGAAAGGTAACGTGCTGCTCGGAAGCGAGTTAGTCGCATGGAAGCCGTCTACATAGTTGAGAATAGAGTCTAGAATCTTCGTTAGCTTGTCTTCGTGAGATATGCACGTACTGACTCACCGTATTGACCAGATTCCTTCAAACAAGTGAGGAGATTGATCTGGGTCTCGACATCGTTCGGTCTCTCAGCAAGTGCAATCTCGTACCAACTTTGCGCCGCCGTCCACCGCCCGGCTTTGCGATCCTCGAGGATCTGCTGCTCGGGATTGAGGATCTTGAGATGAGCTGATATTCCTTCGATACAATCCGGCTCATCGATATGCGCGTAGATCATCTGCAGATGTTGTAACAGTTCGTCCTTCTCGTGGAATGGCTGATTGGATTCAGCCTTCATGTCCCGCTGCTGACGCACGTACTGTTCCCAGTGGAACAGTGCACGAGCGTACGAACCACACTCTACAGCTCTTCGAGATATGATTTCCGCAGGAATGAGCTGCAGAATTCCCTCTACGCGACTGAGCTGCTTGATGGCGTTCATCTCGTCGTCCTCGGAAACACCGCGCCCCGTCTTTCCTGCCATCGTTCTCGCGTCAGTAACGGATTTTCTCTTCTCTTGTAACCACGAAGAAAGATAATCCAATGTCTGGAAGACATTCTGCGGGGTGTTAGCAAATGCATTCGATGGAGTAGTTGTAAGATCTTACCTCGCTACACTGCTTGATGATCGAAACTTCGTGCTGCTCCGAGGTATGTATATCGGCCTGCAGCACCTGCAAAAGCTCTCTTCCTACATTCTCCATGTTCTCATCATTATCTGATACGATGACATTCAGAGCTGTAAATGGAAGTATAAAGGTAGCTATCGAGAGATCGTATCCTTTGATGATTCTTGCTAGAACAGGAAATACCATCTCAACGTTCACACCCTGTCCCTTTCGCAGCAGGTCGTGAACAAAGGTCTGGAGCCAGGTGCCATGACTGATCTTTGAGTTGAATATCGGGTATGTCGCACCTTCGTATTGTATCGAGGTGTTAACATTGACGGAGTATTTCGAATCAAGGAAGGGAGTTAATACAGTTCTGACAGCCTCTGGGATCTCATTCCAGCGCTGGGCCTCTGTACTAGCCTGCGAAGATCGGGGTTTTGCTCCACGGAGTGCACTAAACCCACAATGCTTTAGCATCTCCTGCATAACATAGGCGATCCAGCCTTGTTGTTTAGCATTTGTGGTAGAAAGGAAGACCTTGACCAGGACTTGTTCGAGAAGTAATGCCACGAAATCGATATCCTCGTCTCTCCGTGCGAAGTTCGAAAGCATCAAGACGCGCTTCTTTTCACGGACCGTTTCCACTCGGTATGGATCAAGACCACCGATGATACCAAGGCACTGAGCACAAAGGATCGTGATATCGGAGTGGTCTTCCGAGAAACGAACGCTAGCATCGAGAAGTGATCGCGTCAACGCGGCCAAAACTGGAAGAGGCTTTTGGCCAACTATCGACTGATGCAATTCCTGCTGATTGGCATCCAGAAAAGGCACAAGCTCTATCAGAGCCTGACGCACCACGACTGATGTCTGGTCTTTGCATCTATTGCTAAAGGCTTGGAAGACCTTGATGGTCTCAATCATGTCTCTGAACTTTGCCAACTCGCCTTCAATCTTGGAGAACATTGGTATGCCGGCCAGTGAGGGAAGATATTCGACTCTAGCCCGAAGCTGAGGGTTGTATTGGCTTATGATGCTTCCGACAGCTTTATGGGCTTTGAGCTGCGTGTCTGAAGAAAACAACGACCAATGCTGTACAATCAGTGCAAAGGTTTGATCCACGACTAGCATTGTTTCATCTCCATCAAGAGCTGCTAAAAACGCAGTCCAAACGGTGAACGTATCGTCGCATAGGTCTGGATCTCCGATGGCTGATTGAAGACAAGCGCGGATCTGCGGTAACGCGCCGTTTACGCTAAAGCGTGCAAGGGAGATGAGATCGCCGATAGCAGCTATGCAATTTTTCCTGTCGGGCATCGTATACTGTGCGGCTTTACCCTGGGCGCTAGGAGCCGCGATGACGTTTGAAAGATATGCGATGATGCCCAGAATATGCGTCTCGCAGAAGGCATCTAGATTCTTGGACTTTGACGTCGATTTGCGCTGTCCTGACTTGGTATCGGGTGCGAGCGACGCCAGCGTGCTGAAAGCGCTGTAGTATGGCTTCTTACCGACTCCCTCTTGGTCTGCAGCCAGCCTGAGTATCTCGATAGCAACACCAGTGATGTCTAGGGCAACCCACGAATCAAGCCTGTTATTGCTGCTCTCTCGGATAGCAGGCTCAATAGCTGCTAACGTTTCCATTGCTGTCTTTTCAACGTCGGCAACGGGCTGTGATAGCAGTAGAGCAAGTATCTTCGACAGATTACCTCTTGGATAGGTCAAGACGTCGATGATAGAAGCCTTCCGTGCTTGGGCGATCTTTTCGATGATATCTCTTCTTTTGCTCAAAACGAGATGCGGAAGGGTATCCGCTTGTGTCAGTACCAACAACTGGCGAACGTTTTGCTCGATCAGATCTGCCAATTGCTGCGCTTTCTGGGGCTTCTTAATGTAGTCTTTGATGACCGAGAAACCAATGACCTTCCAGTAAGGACTCAAGAGCTGCATCGTGGACATCGACAACCCTTTGGCGATTGTTTCAAGTTCGCGGTAAGCCATACCGCACACCAGTGCGTTGGAATGACCAAAGTATTCGACCAAGTGATGTAATATGATCGGTAGCTCGAGCTCTCCACACGTCAACGCTGTTCGACCATACGCGATAATGAGCGTCTCCTGATCGGACAGAACGTTGCGCTGCGCTAAAGCGTCCAGGAACTCAATGAACGACCGCCGATTCTTACTGCGGGTATTTTTGGATATATCGCCCCGCAGGAATACCATCAAGGAGCTTGTTGCGGCAAGCTTCAGTTCTCTCAGAGATCTGCTCATAGACGCAAGCAGCCACTGTCCTAGCTCACAAATCTCGAGAGACAGATACTCAGAGTCAGAGATGTGGTTATAGACACGGCCAATAGCGACAGCCATTAGTATCCGAGCTTGCAGCGACTCCTCAAATGCTGGCTCTTTGGTTATGATAAGCATAGCGGCAATGACTTCCTTCCAGCTCTCTCTATCGTCCTGTTTGTTCCAGTATGTCATGGCGCTTCGTTCGTGGCGAGAATTCGTATCGCATAACACGCAGCTTAGCGAATGTACTGGCTGCGATGTAGACTGAGATAGTTCTAGACACCGGGAACCGGCGCATGCAATCTTCGCAAACGCTGTCATGAGGTCCACTTGTACACGTTCATTTTGTTGATCGTCGTCCATCATAGAAGAGTACCTTGCCCTGTAGCTGTTAGCAGTGTACATTTAGGTCAGCTTAGATAACTTACTCAATGATATTGTGGAGATTGGTTAGGTTGAGAACCGGGGAGTCATGGGTACTGCCATTCAGTATCATCACGAGTCGCTCATAGGTGGTATGATTGATGTCTGGAGTATCCAGGAGCTTCTTTCGCCGCTTCGCAGGCCTTTCCTCATTGCCCAAGTTCAACATCCGGAAACCTTTCAGGATTGGTGTCGATTCTTCGGAAAGTTGAGCATCCGAGAAACTGCCAGTATCACCCTCGCAGAGCTCTCTTCGTATGTCCGCAATGTGGATAGGCCATATACCTGGTGCCGTCCAGAGGCAAAGGGAGAGCTAGATTCGATCAGCATGGAAAGAACCTGTGGTATTTCACTCATACCTGCAAGTCTTTGTGAAGCTGAGAGAAGCGTTCAACATTCTGACAGGCTCTAGCTACGATAGCCTCAACGTCGTTCAGAACGACCGATCTGCTCATGTTCTTTCGACGTCGTGTGGCTGAGTCGTCCGTTAATGGCGAAGTAAGGACACTGCGTAACCGGGTAAGAATGATGGCCAGTCGCACTTGAATGACTTCTGAGGCTAACTCTGGCGCTGTCGATAAACCATCAACGAGATCGCTGAGACTATTGATAAGCGACTGTGCATTCTTCAGCGATTCCAATGAACGGTCTCCGGGGGCGCCTGCAGGAAGGAACAGAGTTTCGAGTAGCTGCAGATATGCGAGCGTGATTTCATTGACGAGGATGCCTCTCTCCGAAGTTACCGTCCAACGCCGAAAATGCTTCCACAAATCTTGAGCACTGTCGATGATCCATGGTACATGGTGATCTAGGGAACTAGGCGTCGCCGACGCTCTGCCCTGGGGCGGAGCAACACATGCCAAGGTGGTGAGAAGACAAAAACCGGCATGGATGGCTCCGAGTCGCGAAGTGACTGCTCGCTGCAGATCATGGGGCAAAGCAATGATTTGCTGGCTGTCTGGCCAAAAGTCGCTGATGCTGCTTGACGATGGTAGGAGTAGGTTGAAAGACAGTACGGCTGCCGAAGCTGGATCATCCATGGACCGCAGCTCTGTCAAAATAGCTAGATAGACGTGAGTACTCGCATAAGGGAACTCGGGTTAGTACTTACTTTGCGCACATGATCTGTAAAGCTGTGAGACTGCTGCAGCGGGACGCCAGAGGGCAGATGCTCGTGTGAGCGCGCTTAGGCAGAGATGCAGTATTTGGTGTGCATGTTCGTGCACATAGGTGAGTGCTTCATGTGCTACCAAGCCCAATAACTTAGGAATCAACCAGAGAATAAGCGGAGGACGAGAGATGCCGTCATCTTCGGTCTCTCTAACGCTCAGCAGCAGATGTGGCTTTTGTTGCAAGATGAAAGTGAGCGCGGCAATACTGTCAATACCCTGCTGTCTCTGCTGGTCCTGGGCGAACGGATCATCTTTGAACAAGCCTTCAAGTCCTGCTTCGGCGATGACACTTATGAGCGCTACGAGCTGTGCATCGGGCTCGTCCGTGTTTGGGTGTTGGAGAAACTCTTTGACCAGCTCACCAAAGCTGACTTTGGTTGCCTCGCCCTGCCACGCATGAACATTTGACGCATTATTGACGATTTGTGCCGCAATGGTCGACGGTGGGGGCACGCCATTCGAGTTGCCGTTAGTCACAGGTGGCGGTGCCATCCGCTGAGTCGAGCTCCCGCCTTTGCGGGCCATGATGCACGTTACCGATGTGGCATGTCGGATAGGTAAGGAAAGAGTGGAATCTTGGCAACTGGCTGCTGGCGATGATGCTGGGTCTTTAGACTAAAGCGAGCGTTCGTAGCAGTCTTGACTGAATCAAGATGGTATTGACGGTGGATTCGCCTGATTGGACGCTGGCGGGGTTCCTGTCTGCAATTTCCGGCGTGGCGCTCGTGAGCCTTCAAAGAGTGTCGTCTCGCGTTAATAATACGTGGCTCAGTCTACAATCGCGAAGTTTGCGATATGATCGGTGGTTTGACGGGGGTGTCGGGTTTGCTAGAAAGATGCATGGGTTTACGTGGACGCGAAATCACGTAGTCACGGGACCGCGCTAAGCCCGATCTCGGGAAAGAGCGCTAGGTACTCCGCAATTCGATATGGAAGCGTCGAACCATCCTCACCTAAAGCACTGCGCCCGCAACCCCGAACGGTATATACATCAAAAACGCATACCAACACCCATATTGCACAATTTTGAGTCGAGTACGCCTTAGACCGCAGCCATGCCTGGCCCCTTCACCTCCAAATCCTTCAGCGCCACACTCCCCAACTCGCTCGCCGCGAAGTACCGAAAGTCGCTACAAAAACACCCCTTCCTACTCTTCGGCCTACCGTTTCTGTCTACGATACTTCTCGGATCGTTCATGTTGACTCCCGCCACGGCGCTACGATACGAGCGATACGATCGCAAGAACCAGCAAATCACACATGAGCAGGCTATGGGCCTGAGAGGAGAGCGGAGGAAGGTGAACATGAAGGATGAGTATTACGTGCGTATACTGGGCAATAAGGCAACCGTAAGGGTCTGAACTGACAGCTGCGCAGAGATTACAGGCGAAAGACATAGACGACTGGGAGCAGAGGCGTGTCAAGCGGCTACCGGGCGAGCCAGACGGCACACTTGTATGATTCTGCTATGTACATACATAACAGCACCAGACACGGCGTTACGGAAGGCGATTCGCAAAACAAATTCGATACCTACACAATACAAAACCCTCTACTCCTTTCGATGCACACGCATCACGTTCGAAAGCGCACAGCTGAGGTGGTCTGGTCGAAGGCACAACAAACACACTAATATCATGAAAGCCCATGCTGGGGAAAATCCAAATACCACAACGTAGTCACTTCGGTCCTGCGTCCTCACCTCGGTCGATCGGAACCGGGTCCAACGAAGCTGTAGTCGAGAGATTACTATCCTGGCAGCCCTGTGGACGTTGAGCTGCCAAATTGTGAGCCTTCAACAACTCGTTCTCCTTTTCGTGACTCGTTTTTGATCCGTCTAGTCTCAGCCACAATCCGCCATGATACTTGAACGTTCGGTCTGCGCTATCGTAGTGATACCATTGCCTACGGCCCGCGTCCCATGTCCAATAGTTCTGATCCATCGCTGGAGTAAGCTGAATCGGTTCCGGCTTAATCGTGTCGAGATCGTGCTCCATGTCATCGAGGAGCTTGGCAGCTACGGTGCGTCTGGATAACCCATCTCTGCTCCAACCTTTAGCTGGGTCGATGATTCTTTCCATGAGATGGTCAGTTCGGTAAATGTATACAAGGGCATCGCCGCCGATCTGGGTCCCTGCGTAGATTTTCAAGTATGAGTTGATGGCCTGCAATGTTGTCTTGATAATGACCCTGCGTCTTTCGAGCTCGTCGCCTATCGACATCAGATGGGAGGTAAGCCAATGTCTCCATAAACCAGGGTCATACCAGATGGGTGAAGACTACAGGTATCGGGATCTCTGAACTTGTAGACTAACAAGATCGTCTCAAGGTGGCGGACTGCATACGTAATTCCGATGCTGAGATTGTGTCGTCGGGTTACATCCATGGTTCTTCCAGTGGTAGTTGCACCTTTCAGCCTTGCTAGAGCTTTCTGATGGCCGGAGCCGAGGAATAGTTTTGGTCTGCGCTCGATGAATTAGTGAGATGCGCTACGCTGCGGGGAAGGGCTTGGAAAGGTTATGGATGCGCTGTGCTTTATCGCGTCGGTTTTGCTCCTAACGCCCCTAAGTGCCCAAGATGGGCAGTGATAGGTGTATCCCGCGCAATACTATCAACCTGTTCAAGGGATAGCGCAGTAATGATTGCCCATTCACGAATGACTGGTACGTTCACGCCTGCGTCGCGTCGCAGCCTAGAGCACTGAAATTTCATCCTTTGGCATTTGCCGCCAACGCTTTCCGTGGAGCGGGCTTATGCGATACACATGGCGAGTGATCAGTGGCGCTGGAGCAAGGCTCCAAGACCACACATCTCAGCTGGAATCTCATGATAGAAAGTCATCTGACTAAAGTGAGGGCGTTCGAATAATCGCTGTGTGGGGTCGACGTGTACTTGTCTCTATGAGATGCACTGCTGTTAGCACTATATCAACTGTCTTTCTACTTCATGAGATGAGCAAAAGATTTTGAGAAGGCTGGGACTATGATAAAGCTGGAGTAGGGATCCTGTAGCAGGTTTTTCCCAACAAGTCTGGGTATGCACGGGTCCTGGCTCATATATGTAGTGCTACCACACCTATTCTCTGATTCGTTGATTAGTTGCGTGGCTTAGTTGCGTTATCGCCTAGCATATCCAAGACACGGATGTCGTCAGCTGGACGATCACGTCTCAGCCTGACTCTTCTAAATTCTAGCACAGCCTTCTGGCAAACAGTCATTCAGCTGATAAGTTTGTTCTCACGTTCTTCTCGCTTTGCATATCCATCTCGCGTTTCCAGGGCACTACCGCACACCTCCATATAGATTCTCGAGAACTCCTTCCGTCGCATTACAGCCACATCTACAGACTTGATCGTCGTCTGTTCAAATTTTCTTGGACACTACAATACACGATCTTGATTGAGCATGGCCTCAGTCAGTGTCAATCCCAATCCAACTCAAGTACGTTTGTGACCTCGCTAACTCGGTTGCATTGCAGGGACTAATCTGGACAGAGAGAAGCAGTATTCAAAAAGGACGATGAAGTGAAAAAAAGGATATACTCTACTTCAGGCGGCCGTCTAAGGAATGGATTCCAAGATTTTACAGTGGTAAAAGCAAAAATATCGAATGGTCGCGCTGAGTACCGACTCAAAAACAGCCATACGGGGAAACTGTTGAATGGATGGGTCAGGGAGTCTAATATCAAATGGTCTGACAAGCGCAGTAGCGTAGCAGCAACCCCCGCGTCATCTCCTCGGGAAGCTGAAAGCATGCAGCGGGGATCAGCACAAAAGTCGTCTTCATCAGCCACCATGCCACCCTCCCAGAAGGCTGAAAGCATGCAGCAAGGATCAGCACTCAAATCGTCTTGAATAATCAGTTTCCCCACCTACTTGATCAATGTAGATTTCCATAGCTATCCATAAGCGCAGTTTGATCGGTTACTCTATGCCTATGGCCAACTCCGACTTGAACGTGTCAGAAAAGCAATGCATCTCAACTGAGTCTAACGTCCAAGATCTAAATGTTCATATGACTAGAGATTTGGAAGCCGGTAAAAGCGGCGGCGTCATTGGTGACCTAGCCCTGTGTATGAAGACTGAATTAGAATTATACAGCTAATGGCTATCAACAGTCACGGAAAGGCGCTGGCCGTGGGGCAAGGGATGTGAGCCAACGGCAGTAACAGGAACCGAAGAAACACGGGAAAACGGCGAAACAGAAGAGAACAACGGTATAGGAAAGAATAACGAGACAGAACAAAACAACGAGACAGAACAGAACAGCGATGCAGCAGAAAACAGCGATGCAGAGGAAAACAGCGATGCAGAAGAGAACAATGATACGGACGAAGGCGATTCCAGGCACACCGTACTACCACCTGGTGAGTCTCGGCTCACTCTGGTACATTGTTTGCACATTTAACCGGTTCCAGGCAGTGAAATTCCCACAGGCTATCCGCTTCAAGCAGCCTTCCAATCCAGTAAGCCCAACTTCTCGGTCTACCGATCCTTCGACTACCTCCATGCGCGTGTTATTCTCGAGCTTCAAGACCAACTTCGTGAACTCGAGCAAAAACTTGGAGATCTGGATGAGTCCCATTACCATCCCGAGAGTGCAGAGCAGAGCATACGGATCGAGTCCCGCACCAGAGACTTGGAGTTCACTCAGTTTGAGCAGCTTGACCGGCCTGGTGCAGCGGAATTTGATGCGCACCAGGATCGTTCAGCCTCCGATTCCAGCGTGGAGCTGACCCAAAAGCCTGTCCTCAGCCAGAGAGCGATGATGCTAGAATCTATCCAAGAGAAACTCGTTAAATACGACGAAGCTCTCTACAACACTCGACGATTGAATGAGTTTGAAAGACCAAGTAAGCGCGACTGGCATGCTCTCCGGCAATGGCTTGCGAACACAAGACCGCTGAACTTCGAACCGGAAGAGGTTTTCATTCATATGAAGCATGATCTCATCACCCTGAATCCCAGAACGGATTCCGGTAAGATCGACGCTTGGATCGAAGATGCCATCAGTAGGCTGCCTGAAGGCATGACATCTGTGAGTGTCCTCCGATACCATTTACGAAGCTTGAAGCTAATGCGTCTGTTTGAAGTATTTCTATAAGGAGCGTCTCCGAGCCTTCGAGGACAAATACACGCGTTTCTTTCACGTCTCTCGAATTGAACGCCTCGCTGTCTCAGTGGTCGTCCTCGTCATAGTCATCTTACTGGCCGCACCGGTTTTTGGTATGTATCGCATAACATGGATGGGAACCCATGCCAGCACATTCTTCAACATAGCGCTCTTGATGGCTTTCGCTCTGCTGTTCTCTGTGGCGATGGGCTTTCTGACGGGGGCGAAGCGGGCCGAGCTTTTCGCAGCGACAGCAGCGTACAGTGCTGTGTTGGTGGTATTCATTGGCAACTTCAGTAGCAACGTGGAGTAAGACGGTGAATGAAGGGAGTGAAACTTGCGTGGAAGTATGATAGTAGTCTTGAGGTGACGCAATATTGTTCGTAGTTGTATCTCGACGACGCTCGTGTAATCTGGGTTGAGCTTGTCATTAGATGAAGAATGAGAGAAGATGAAGGAAATACGCTCATGACCGCTGTAAATGCAATAGAAACAACTCGCTCGAACGCTTCGCTACAAAAGACAGACAGGAAACAACAAATTAAGCCCCCAAAATGCAATCGAGAAACGACAGTACGCATGGCCGTGAGACAAGTGTCGTAGAAACAGAAAACAGAGAAACGCAAGCAGGTATCCTCTAACGAATCTAGTCGTGATAATGTTCCGCTAAGAAAAAAGTGATGATCGAAAGTACGAACAAGCGTACACACGGGACGAACAGCCAGGTTGGTGCTGATGTTAACAACATCTGCCACTCTTGCTCTTCTGCGCCTGGTTGATATCTTCTTCCCAATCTTGCTGATGTCCAGCGACATTGGGTGTGGTGGGGAAGCCCAGCCAGCTCCGCCTTTTGTCACCTGTGCCTAAGCGGAAGCTTCCGTTGCCCGTTCCAGGGTAATCGAAGTAGCCAGCCACATTGCCGTTGTTGTCCATGGCAGGGGTGACACCAGCCATGGCGTACTGCCGTTGTTCTTCCTCGAGCTTCTTCTGCTGTTGTTCCACAAGCTTGCGGGTAATGACGCGAAAGACCTCGTCTACACCCTCGCCGTCTTTGGCGCTGATCTCGTGACAGCAATCCCAGCCCAAGTCTTGTCCCCAGAAGCCGCTCGATCGATTGCTCTGTGGCGACGCCATACCGCTGTGGAAGGCTGCCGGTACGGAGCCCCAGCCGCTTGCTGCAGCACTGTGTGGCTGTCCGTTTTGTGTGGGGTGGAGGTTCTCGGCGACGTATTCGATGCAGCGCTCAAAGGGCACTTTCCGCTTGGTAGGGTCTTCGGCTACGACGTCTGACTTTGTTCCTACCACATGGAGGATCACGTCCTCTCCAAGGTTTGTCTTGAGTTCCTTGAACCAGCGGCCCATCTCCTCGAACGAATATGGATCGGTGATGTCGTAACATAGTACTGCAGCATTTGCGCCTAGAAGAAAATGTTAGTTCTGCGCTGAACGTTTGCTTATAGTAGACGATCCGAACTCGGCTGCCGGATGTGGGGTATCCAGATAGCGGAAAGAGACCCGATATGTATGGCGACAGAATATGAGAGTTGATTCGGCGAAAGGAACAATACTAACGTACCCCTATAATACAGCTTGGATATGGACCGGAAGCGCTCCTGGCCGGCGGTATCCCATATCTGTAACCGAACCACGGTGGAGGTGTCGATATCCACAACCCTCTTTGTCAGGAAGGAAGCACCCACGGTGGACTGTGTCGTGGGAGGCGTAAATGCGTTCTTGACGTATCTGTGCACAAGAGAAGTTTTTCCAACTCCTTGGCTACCGAGAACCACAATCTTTGCTTCCAGGCTGTTGGACATATCGCCGTATTACGCCAAATCTATTTGTATACGTCGGTGTTGGCGGTGCAGGGATGGGGCGGCAGGCGGTGTTGTGGGGTCGGCTCAGATATGCGCGGTCGCGGTGCCTCGGAGCAAGAAAGAAAGGAAATGCGTGAGAGGCGGCGGGAGAACAAGTTGCATGGCGAGCAGTGAGAAAGAGTCGCCGGCAGATGTGAGAAGAGGCAGAGGATTGACGTAGAGGGTATCTGAGAATATTAGGCAGGAGGTGAGTGCCCGAATGACAGCCCAGCTGCGTTTGGCGCTTGCACCGATTCTCTTGGCTAGGGGAGCCATGTGACAGGCGCCTTAAGCCAATGTGAATCAGATCTGAGAAGGGTGCATCCCAGATGGGAATGTAAATGCCCATCGTGATCGCAGCCCTGGGGACTGATAATCATCCAGGGGATGACGCGCCATGTTGATGCTGTGTGTCGGGCAGTCAACAATGCACGTCATGCCCAGCCAGCTGTCTCTTCCCCGCGTTTCGGAGCAGCACGGAGTCTTCCACGCGACCGACGAGAACGTTAATACCTACCCCAACTAAGCTCCCTCAACGAACGACAGTTCCTGGCCGACACATATATCCTCAAGAAAACCGCCTGCGAAGGACCGAGACGGGATGCCTAATGCGATAAGCCCGGAATCGATCTCGCCTCGAGCTCGTGGGCTAGGGTGCTAACTCAGATGCATCTCCGCGACCAGCATCCGAAGCCCGCGGGGATGAATGTACCGAGCTATTACCCCAACCATGCTGCCGTCACCAACCTGGCCCTTCCGCTCGTCCAAGCCCTCTAGTGTCTGGAAATAACCTAGACCGGCTCCATATATTTTCTGGCCTATCTTCGCGTCTTGATTACCTGCCCTTCAACATTTCGCGCTCGACACACCGCCGCCACGATGAACCACGACAGCAACAACACCCAGAAGGTGAAGCTCACCGGTGAGCAGGTCGCCCAGCACAACAACGCCGAATCATGCTGGGTCATCATCCACGGCCGCGCCTACGATGTCACCGAGTTCCTGCCTGAGCATCCCGGAGGCCAGAAGATTGTCTTGAAGTATGCTGGCAAGGACGGCACCGAGGCATTTGAGCCAATCCACCCGCCCGACACGCTCGACAAGTATCTCGACAAGTCCAAGCACTTGGGCGAGGTGGACATGAACACCGTCAAGGAAGAGGCAAAGGAGGTTGATCCAGATGAGGAAGCGAGGCAGGAGCGCATTGCGCGCATGCCTATTCTGGAGCAATGCTACAACTTGATGGACTTTGAGGCCGTCGCGCGCAAGGTCATGAAGAAGACAGCATGGGCATACTACTCCAGTGGTGCCGACGACGAGATCGTACGTCTCTCTCAACGATCACCGCCATTGCCTGAGCTAACTTCGACAGACACTACGCGAAAACCACAGCGCATTCCACAAGATTTGGTTCCGACCACGCGTACTCATCGACGTCGAGAAGGTCGACATGTCCACCACAATGCTCGGCACCAAAGTTGACATCCCCTTCTATGTCACCGCGACAGCGCTGGGCAAGCTCGGTAACCCGGAGGGAGAGGTCGTCCTTACGCGCGGCGCACACAAGCACAACGTTGTCCAGATGATACCAACACTAGCGTCATGCTCGTTCGACGAGATCATGGACGAAGCAAAAGACGGCCAGGTCCAATGGCTGCAGCTATACGTAAACAAGGACAGGGAGGTCACGAAGCGCATTGTGCAGCACGCCGAGAAGCGCGGCTGCAAGGGTCTCTTCATTACCGTCGACGCACCGCAGCTCGGTCGTCGCGAGAAAGACATGCGGAGCAAGTTCGACGATGTCGGCAGCAACGTCCAGAGCACCGGCGGCGACAATGTGGATCGTAGTCAAGGCGCCGCACGAGCCATCTCGTCCTTCATTGACCCGAGCCTCAGCTGGAAAGATATCCCGTGGTTCAGGAGCATTACCAAGATGCCCATTATCCTCAAGGGTGTGCAATGTGTTGAGGATGTTATCCGCGCCGTCGAGGTTGGTTGCGATGGTGTTGTCCTTTCCAACCACGGTGGTCGTCAACTCGATTTCGCTCGCTCCGGTGTTGAGGTTCTCGCAGAGGTCATGCCAGTTCTTCGCGCACGCGGCTGGCAAGATCGCATCGAGGTGTACATCGATGGCGGTATTCGACGTGCGACAGACATCATTAAGGCTGTTGCACTCGGCGCCAAAGGTGTAGGCATCGGCAGGCCTTTCCTTTACGCCATGTCGGCATACGGTCTGCCAGGTGTTGACCGCGCTATGCAGCTGCTGAAGGATGAGATGGAGATGAACATGCGCCTCATTGGTGCTTCAAGCATTGCGGACCTGAACCCCTCGATGCTTGACACAAGAGGGCTTAGCATGCACACTGCTACCGTACCTCACGACACTCTGGGTATGAATGTCTACGACCCGCTCATTGGCCCTCAAGAGAGTGTTGTCAAGGAGAAGTCGAAGTTGTAGAGGAGCTTGTGATTGTATTGTATATATATCTTGGCGCAACACATTTCTTCAAATATGGTCAATCAATACTTACAGCGAGATGCCGTGTTTAAACCGAGTCACAATCTATTCGAACTCTCTACCTCTTGATCATGTGCGCTCATTCACAGCCCTACGCCATCAAGTATGCTCGTGTGGCACCCTTTGTCCGCATCGTGACTACGCGTAGACGCGTTCGGCGAGTGGGGAAGGAGCGCCCGGTGGACCTTCCGATCGTCAAGCGTCCTTGAACCACGGGTCGCTCTTTCCACTTCAATCGCAGCACGCCTCGACCATTCACATTATCGCACCTTACTATATCACATATCCCCGCCTTTGAATCGCCTTCGCATCACCGCTTTTACTTTTTGATTATATCTTAATATTATTCCATGGGTGCTCCTGACGTTGCAGCGCAGCCCGGCGCTGGCTGGGACGAAGCGCAATGCACAGCAGCCCTCGCACACTTGGAGCAGCTCCAGGCGCAGGTGAGAATAGCATACCACCTTCTCTGGTCAAGTCATACTAATATGCGATAGATCAGCGACATGCGCCTAGCTATCCCCCGCATCATCGAGCCCTTCCACCGCCCTCGCAGTTCCGCGACGTATAAACTCTACGCCGACGGCGTACTCGGTTCCCAGAAGAACCTCGACTCCCTCAAGAGCCAGTGGAAGTCACCAGAAATTCAAAGCACGTTCGAACACGTCAAGCAGAGCCTCGGCGCAAATGCGGACCTGTCAGAGAGCGTCTCGATACCTTCTCATGGCTGGGCGGAACGAGCGCGGAAGGCGAAAGAGTCGACGAAGAGCCAGGGAGGGGAGAATAAAGAGGACACTGGTGCTATTGTTACTGACGAGGATATCGAGAGGATTGTGGTGGATTTTAGGAAGGCGCATCCGAATCTCAAAGTCGAAACACTTGATGAGGATCGCAGCATCCAAACACGCTTCGTAGCCGGTTCTCTCATGCTGAAGTTCCGCGTCGGCATCGAGCGTGATGCAAACGGACGACATAAACTCAACGCAGAGTGTTTAGGGACAACTGAGCCCTTTTTGGCTATCACAAGATGTATTGCATCACGGTCAAATCCAGATGATTTGAAGTATCTGTTGGTATGTACATGGGATTGTGTGGCATGGAAATGTTTTGGGTGGATGCTAATTATTACAGGATATGATTGCTGCGTACAAGACTGTGAAAGGAACGTCGTGTGCTAAATGCGGGAAACTTCTGGATGACTCGGCGTTGACGCCTACTGCGCGACGAAGTAAACAAGTTGCCGTCGGAAACGAAAGTCCAGATACGGTCTGGGTGGCACTCCACGAGGCTTGCATTGAGTAAACCCAGATGGCACTCACGTCGATCTAGTGCGAGCTCATCTCACATAGGGGGGCGGGATGTGAAAGAATGGCTCCCCCTGGCCAAACTCGTTGTCAACATCACCACCCCATCTTCGCGGCAGATACTGCATGTCATGATGCCACTGGCCGAACACGTTTCTCATCGCCTGGGGGTAACAGTTCCATTCGCTATTTCCGTATGGCTCTGGTTGCCAAATAGCATCTGTCCACATATCCAGGCTTGGCTCTGTGTACTGTCGAGTCCGGAAGTCGTAGCACTTGTCTTTATCTCGACCACCGAGCATGCTGTCTTGGGTCCACGGAGCGAATTTCGAGCTATTAAAGCCGAAAGGATGACGTCCGAATCCGGGCTGATGGCCATATCCCGCCCATTGATTTTTGTGTGGACGATTGGACACGCAATCCGTCTTGCGAGCCCCAAACGCAACGTACATGTCCGGGCCCTCGTTTTTGAATATATCCTTGAGGCGTCCACGAAATGAGCCATTCCTTCCGTCCTTTGGCCATATAAATGCCTTTGATGGTTTGACATTATGGAGCTTCCGGCCATCTTGGTACCATCCTCGCCAGTACGGTTCACGAACGTATCGAGCTGCTTGTGGTTTCGATCCGCACTTCCGCCCGGTTTCCGTGAAGTAGGGAGGTCTCGGCAGAATATCAGGCATGTTGAAGATGTCTTAGTAAAGGGTCTGTTTCCTTCGAGGGAAGTATAGTATCTTTAGCGATGGACAACCGCCTTTGTAGAGATGATACTGTCAGTCGTTTGCTAGCGAAGATTGCAGATACGAGATAGTTATACACAGTATGGCAGAGATGGAGCGTGTGTATAGTCGTTTGCGTGCCGCTACTACCTAGCATACAAAGTTTTATATTATTCCGTCATGCACCCGCTTCCATTTGGCTCATCTTTGGACTGTCAGGCGTGGCCTTGCGCCTGCTGTATCAACTTTCCAGCAAGCATGTAAACCCCACTCTTACCAAACTGAGGTGAAGCATCTAACGTGACTGAGATCATATTTCAATCTAATGATGCTTTGAGAAGATAAGATGGTACTAGTCCTTTCACACGACGCGGTACCTGAAAGACAGGGATCGCGAGGGTCCAAGCTCTCAAGCTTGAA